GGAATGACCAGAACATCAAGTTCATCCACCCTCAAAGCTTCTTCCAACAGATAATTTTCCATATACAAATATTAATATTACATCTATGCATCTGGCTTTTAAAATGCCAGAAAATCACTGTAACCTCAGCAATATCTGTCACCATCTAGCTCTAGCATCCTTTACAGGGAGTTAGTCATTCACAACAACTAGCATTTCCTCTTCACAAAAGGGAAAAGAGCACATCTTCATTAACTGTACGACATGAGGCAAACAAGCTTATCAGGGCCTGTGGTGCTCCAGCAGGTAGCACAGACTTATCGCTCGACTTCATGGTGAATCAAAGCTGCCCGAGTAGAAATATGCTACCAGCTACCCAGGCACAACATGCTCTGATAGCAGGGTGACGTTCCCTATCACATGAGAGCATGCAAATAAAAACTGCCTGGCACGACATAATAAAGTCAGCAGGTAGCACTGTGGTTAAGCACAATCTTGACAGTTGATCGTGGCACAAAAAGGCCAATCGACTGAAAAATCCTTCAAACCTTTGTCATTCCCCACATACCTCTCTTGAATCTTGTGAGAGCAGAGAGAGAGACTCCTGCACCCTCAAAAAGGCACAGCTGACTTCCTCTCCTTGGCCCAGGGGGCAGGACACCTGGACAGCCCACAAACCTAAGCATACATTTCCAAAATGTAAACTGAACCCTTTTCGTATTTCATGATGTCACCGTTACTCAGCTTTATTTTTACTGATGTGCAGAAGTATGTGGATGTTAAGGCAACACCCAGAGCTTGCGTGAGAGAGGCACCAGTGATTAATAGTGGCAGAGGCAAGAGGCTTGCGACTGCAGCCACTACGTTCCAGGAGTCCATGCGACGCGACTTATTGCAGTACCATGTTCCGGCAGACTAGAGCGTTACGACCCCCTCTACAAGCTGGGGATGAGGTCACGCATATCACAGGGACCCAGTTTACACATGCAAAGATGCAATGAGTACATTCTCAGCGCAAACAAGAGAACTCCAGGACTGCAAGGCAGAAATCTGCTGAAATCTAGCACAGCTCTCGCAAAGTAGCAGACCGACAAGGAAGAGCAGCTCTCAGACGGCTCATTTGCACAGTATGAGCAGTATCACTTTCACTTCGGAGTCTCATTCACACCATGAGCCTTTCAAACAGTTATTTTTACACCTGCATGGGAGCATGTAGGTGCAGATCCCATGTACGCTTCAAAAACCAGAAGCTGAATTGCCAGTCAAGGGATTGAGGTCTGAGAAGCCAGGTCTTGTCCACAGACACACCCCTGTGTTCATCTCACTCTAAGCATAAGAGAAATTTTGCAGCCCCGGAAAGGCAGCTAGGCCCACTTTGTGCTGGGAGGGCCCCAGCTTCTCATGTTTCCTCTTTATTTTAACAGCAGTTGCTGCTGTTACACAAAAGCTTGAGTAAGTCATCAGAATACTGAGCGGAATGTCCCCACCAGCTCAGCTGGGTTGAATGAACAGGCTGAATCGCCGATTCATGCCCACCCCCGTGTGTTCGCCTCAGATGGGGACAGACCTTTGCATCCAGAGCCAGTACCGGCAGCAATGAAGTCTGGCAGCCTGTACAGGTGTGGATAAAAATAAAGAATCACTAGCAACTAGCACACGTGCCTGCCAAATCTGCTGTGGTAATCACGGGAAATGAAAATGCCTGGATGCAAATTTCTGCCCAAACAGATTATGGGAAAATTTAAAAAAAGCTGTTTTACTCAAGAACGATAATCATACCCCTTAAAACTAACTGTGAACAAGTCTGATAAAATGCACGACAGCCACGCACCCACCCACACAGTCTAAACATCCCCCCCCCCTCAAGTATTGGTATGGCCCAGGAAATACGACTTAAATTGAGCACAATGTAACAAGTACTTTATCACGCGCTTTAATATATTTTGAAATGAAACGGATGCTTTTTAATAACTACTAAGGAATGAGCTTAGACATTCTTGCATAACCAGATATTAAATATTCCCTAATTATGTGCGACTCATATATACACACACACACACACACACCGCCTTTTCAACAAGCCATTTCTATAGTTAAACTATGAACACTTAAATTATACTTAACATATTGTTTCTTACCCAATATGAACAGAACTAGCTCACCATGCTGTTCAGTTAAACCACAAATACACAAAGACAAGATTGCGGCTTGCTGTTTGCCATCTACGTGAAAACATTCTCTTTTTCTAGCCTGCTGAGGTTCTTGAAAGTGACGTCGTGGCACAGTATAAGTTAGTTATCACTGAGGGACCGCTAGAAACGGTCATTAAAAGACCGTCCCGGGTGAACCACACCGTCTGCTCCTTCGAAGCGGGACACCAGCGCTCTCCGACGAAGCTTCTTTTAACAAGATTACAGAGAACACCTTGGGAAGTATTACAATCTAGGGGAGATTACACCTGCAACCAGGCAGCCCCAGTCACCCTCCTGAACCACCACACGCGGGGAGGGTGGTCACCCGACGCTGATGATTTAATAAAGAGGTTTATGTTTTTCATTTAAATACTGTGCATTTGACCCATGCACCCACAGAAATTCAGGGTGCCAGACATAAAGTGGCCGTGATACAGCCGTAAAAAGAAATCCAATACAACCAAAACTGAAAATAACCACAATACGACCGTAAGCAACATGCAAAACGGCGATGATATAACCGTAAAAAACACCCAATACAGTTATACATCAAAACCGAAAATAACCTTTAGCAATATCCAAGACGACTGTGATACCTATAAAGAATATTCAAAACAAACATAAACCAAAACTGAAAATAACCGCAATATGACCGTAAATGTTAAACAACTATACATGACAGCGAATGCATCCAAATATGCAGCAAATAACCAGTTAGACCCGGTTGCAGGTGAACATTAGTAAACGCTGAGCGAAGGCAACCGCCGCGAAATGGGTGTATTACGGTTCACTCGTTTATACTTAACGGTGCTCCAAAAATATTTATGGTAAAAACAAGAACATTTCAAAAATTAATAAAACAAAATGAACAAAAATTACAACAAAAACGGCAAGACATAATAATGACAACAGAGAAACGGCCAGAAACATTTAACACTGTAAATAAGTGGAATTAAACCGGTGGGTCCAGCAGCCCCGGTCCGGTTCTAGAGGCGATAAACAACAGCTCGAACTGACGCGTTAACCCGACAGGTTCAGCAGCCTCGGTCCGGGACTCGGGGCGATAAACAGCCGCTCGAACCGACGCGTTAACCCGATGGGTCCAGCAGCCTCGGTCCGGGACTCGTGGCGATAAACAACAGCTCGAATTGACGCGTTAACCCGACGGGTCCAGCAGCCTCGGTCCGGGACTCAGGGCGATAAACAGCCGCTCAAACCGACGCGTTAACCGTACGAGTCCAGCAGCCTCGGTCCGGGACTCGGGGCGATAAACAGCCGCTCGAACTGACGCGGTAACCCAGCGGATCTAACAGCCCATGTCCGGGACTCGCTTAGCCGACGAGCCGGTCAAACACAGACATTAACCCCTGGGCTCGGTTTACCTGGACTCGGCGCGGCGAGGAGTCTTCACGCGGCGACCCCGCGCCTCCTCACCACGGCCGCGCACCCTGAGAGCCACAGACGCCGGACACCGACTGCCGAAGCCGCCGGCTCGCGGTCCGCAACCGCCTCCGGCAGAGAACGCCGTGACGTCGCACACGTGTCCCACGTGACCGCGAGCCGGCGGTTGCTAGCGCTCTGGTTGCGTCACGGCCGCTAATTACTCTTAATCAGTCCCCCTATAGCTGTTAGAAAATGCAAAAGCGGAGAGGAAATATACACGCCGGGATGTTTTAATTCTCATTCCAAAGCAAACAGCATTTAGAAGTAGTGATATTTATAAACACGTCATCTGTCAATGCAAATGTCAATGTGAAATCTAACTTATAATCCACAGTATGAATTCATTATGAAATATGTTACCTATAAAGCGAAGATAAAATAGACACATAAAGCACCATGATTGTGACCCAGATTCGATACCTTTTATGGAATTAGAGTCTCATCGAGAAGACATCCTTCGGCTTTCAAGTGCGGTTATTTGTGTCTGTATCTGATATAGGCTGTAAGAAAAAGCAATGTTTAGGCATTCAGATATTAACCTGGATATCCTAAGAGATTCAATGTGTGTAAGAGGGATTCGTCATTATAACAGATTTCAAAGGACCGCACATATGGATGCTACAGAAAAACAAAATAAATATTTTTGTGGCATTTTCTGGATTACCCTGACCAGAATAAGCGTTTAGAATATGGTTGGATGAATGGATTTTCTGGATCATTTTAATGACGGATAGTGAAAATATTTTATTCTTCCTAAGGTTGTGCTACCGCAGATTTGGCTGCGATACCGTTCTGCTAAATTTGACATGGATTTTACATTATATTTTCACTAGTGCACGGCAGAAACGTTGTCAGCGGATGTCTGTGCATGAATAAGATTCCATGAATATAAATGTAAGACTTCCAAGTCCTAACTGGTTACACAAAGTCTATAGGGGCTGGAAAACAGCGTTTTCCCCGTAAGAACACTTAATTGTATTGAATCGTTTTGTATAATGTGTTTGTATGAATCGTTCGCCACTGAAAAAATGCATTTAAGTTCCAGACAGAACCATTGCAGCGCTGGTGTTTAATCAGTAATTGGTTTACTGCTGGGCTATGTTGTGTGGATTTACTGCTGTAGTCCAATGACATTCAGTTACGCTGATTTGGCATCTGCAAACTGTCTGATGTGTGTGTACAGTAAGTGCCCTGTGATGGACTGGCATCCTATCTAGGGTGTGTCGATGCCCGCGATGGGCTCTTTGTGGCCCTGCCTGGCAGTTGGAAGATGGCTATTTAGCAGCCATTCCTTCTGTGGTATCAAGATTCAAAAATCCTATGCAGAAAAAATATGCAACCAAAGTTTATAATAACAGTGAAATGGACAAACAAAGACACTTACAATTTAATGTTGTTTTTTCTGAATCCCACAAAGAAACATCATTACATTGCAGAACAAATACTTAATGCATACTTACTTCCATTGACCATTTCTAAGTGTAAATAAATATGGCCAAATGATTTGTTATGTTCAAACTCCGCAGGTTTGTTGAAATTCTGTGTGCTGTTGTTCCAGGTGTTAGTGCTGTGCATTGGTGGGGAACCAAGTGTTTTTGAAGTTAAACCAACATAATATGTTGTGATTGCAAGGTATTCACACGTCAGAGAAATACCCCTTTAAAACAGCACCATCTCAGGTCAGTTAATGTGTTGCCTGTAAATGCCTGTGACATCATTCTGGTTCAGAGCTGCAGAGACAGGATCGTTTGCTTCTTCGGAAGTTCGAGACTGACGTCACAGGGCCTCCTGGTTCTCTGTAAACGTGCACTGCCCTCTTTAATCGGTAACCTTGCCCAATGACTCAACCTTCAGCCGAACAGAGTCTGTAAGAACACAGAGTCAGACACTATTAGCTTCAGTTAACCTCTCCATGTTTTTAGGCTGTGGGGGGAAACCAGAATATCCAAACTAAGCCCCACACACATAGAACCCTAGTGGAAACTCAAACCCACATCCCAGTGGTGTGAGGCAACAGTGCTAACCACTGCACCACCATGCCACCCTGATTATAGTATCTAAAAGACTAAACATGTTATAATTTCAAGTCAACATTCGCTGTATTGTCATGTGCACATGCACAATGAAATGAGGTGGTAGGCTGTCTTAGTGCAAGCATCACACATTATATAGGATGAAATAATAGTGCAATAATCAGTGTCCTGAGTAAGATGCAAGTGTGATATATACAGTCATGCTCTGCATAACGACGTTTTGGTCACTGATAGACCACACAAACGACTGTGGTCCCATAACAGAGCTGAAAAATTCCTACCACCTAGTGACGTCGTGATATCGCAGCGTGACGCATTGCTCACATGTTTGTGGTAATGCTGGTGTGGAAAAAAACTTAATGCGCTACCAGCTGTAACATGTATAGTCCATAGTACTTGTGATAATAAACAACTGTGTTACTGGTTTATGTGTTTACTATACTGTACTTTTTTATCGTTATTTAAGCTATAACATAAAGTGCAGGTGTGTACGCTACATCATGTACGGTTTTGTGTAAGTACACTCTATGACAGGGGTCTCCAACTCCAGTCCTGGAGAGCTACTATCCAGTAGGTTTTCTATCCTATACCTGGCTTCTGATGAGCCACATCTGCTCCTGGTATTTACCTGAGAACAGGTGTGGCTCATCAGAAGCCGGGTAGGATAGAAAACCTACTGGACGGTAGCTCTCCAGGACCGGAGTTGGAGACCCCTGCTCTATGATGTTCACACGATGATGAAATCGCCTAACCACACATTTCTTAGGTGTATCCTCATCGTTAAGTGATGCATGACTGTAGATATAGGCCTATATAGAGTCATGCATACAAATACATATACCTATATATTACTAAAATACAGCACGTGTATTATACATAGATACATGTTGCACAGTCCATTGAATTTTAGCATAATGGAACAAGGGTGTTAGCCTTTCTTTAAATCTGGCGTATGGTTTCTTAAAGGGGCCTCTTTCAATTCAGTCATTTGCAGTCACATAAGTAACAGCGATACTGACACACAGAACAGAGCAATATTGCGCAAAGGTGTTGAGAAAACTTGTAATGTAAGGGGAAGTTCTCTGACCTTCATTGTTGTCATATTGTGAAAGGGCACCATTACGGTTCCCTTACTCATAAACAGACTAGCACTTGTGAACGCAATGTTATAACCTCACCTTTTCTCCTCTCCGCTTTCTCAGACATCTTCTTCGCTCCCTCCTTTGTGTTTCTGGCAGTGCTGGACAATGTTGTGCCATCCAGGGCCCGTGTGACCTCAGTTGCATGTAACTAGCAGAGAGATACCATAACCTGTTACGCATATGGAATCCAGATGGACGAGAGGAGCCATGTGACCAGATGTAGACTAGATTGTCATCAAAGATAATTTTTACTCCATTCCCTTCAGCCATATTCAGCAGAACACAATTTATATTACCCCTTAAGATAAAATCAGATCTCTCAATAAATGTCACCACTAACTCATGGGTGAGAATTACAGGGGGTTGTAACCCCACCCAGTGATCAAATCCGACCAATACAATCCCTAGTTGGGATATGTTTAGCAAGGTGCCGGCGTGGTTAGCAGTGTTACCCTGCCTGTCTAGGACAAGGGTTCAAATCTCCACCCTGACTCCGTGTGTGTGTGGAATTTCTTGTCATGGGGTTTCTTCCAGGAACCCAGGCTTCTCCCTGCACTCCAAAAGCATGTTACCAAATTGTCTTTTTGTGCACCCCATCCTGGGTTATTCCCTGGCTTATGCTCATAGGTTCTAGGCCCCCACAACCCTGAATAGAATAAATGGGTGCAGAGGATGGATCAGTTCTCCTGCAGATACCTTTATCCAAAATTACGTAATTTTAATTGGAAAAAGTAGGATCAGATGGTCCCTGGAGTGACTGGGGGGGGGGGGGGGGCTAAGGGCATTGCTCAAAGGCTCAATCATTCTGCAGATTTTGGGATTTGAACCAGCAACCATCTATCACAAGCTCAGTGTCCTAACCCACCAAACTAAACACTACACCTCCCCCCCCAGGCAGAAAACACAGGAAAACAATTCCTGTTATACAGATTTTTGTATTTCTCATAATCACAGTATATATTAAATCACCTTTGATTTTTTAACTTTTAAAATGTAAAACTTTTTTTAACATGCCAATATTTTCATATGTAAATGATTGTGTTTTTAATTCTGCAATGGTAGTTTTGCCTTACACTAAATATACTTCTGAGGTCCCAAATTATCTTGTATAGGTTACTGCAGGAAAATAAAGTCTTTACTATTTAAAGATGGGTCAGTCCCTTACCTAAAAAGAAGGAGTCTTACCAAAAGCACTGCCCTGTCCTCAAAATTCAGGCCCTCACCAACGTGGAGTTTACTGCCAGAAATAAGACTATCATCCACGAATCCAGAAAACAAAGTTAATTGTTCTAACTGCCCGTAATTATGCGTTCGATTTTGCAATCGATATCATCATGAGACGAGGATCTCTGATGCGGACCTTACGGCTGCTTTTTCTAAATAAACAAATAAAAAAGAAAACGAGATTGTAGGAGACAGGAAAAGCAGCGTAGAAAAAAGGGGTGTCTATGAAAATTCACTGTTCATTTTTCCGAGTGTCCTGAAATTTGCAAGAAGGAACAAATTAGTTTGGGTAAACAGGATCTCAGAAATGAAAAATGTTTCCCGTTGACCTTCTGTCCCCTTCGAAGGTGACCGGGGACCAACTCTAAAGTGACATAAACAGCCGGGCAGCGTTTAGCTACGCACGGCTGCTTGAGGAGCAACTCTCACGGAAGATTTTAAAATTTAAAGAAACAGATCGCAAGAAATAAGATGTTAGACGTCATAGTTAATGAGTTGCGAATGTCACACGCTCGTCACGTACTGCATACTTTCATGCAACACTTTGTAAACGTTTAACTGCTTTAAGGCTGCAGTACCTAATCGTACTGAAACAGCTTAACATCGCTGACAATAATACGTCAGTGACCCACTGACTTCGAGGATTTCAGCGCAGGTTTAAATAAGACACTTTCTTAGTTTTTAAAGCGTGACATTTGTGTGCCTTGCCGGACGAATGACTAAATTTGATACTGCTGAAGATTTATTTATACTGACAGTCAACATATTCGTTGGCGATAAGGGTTATCTGAGTGTAAATAAACAGACGCTGTTACATTTCATACGTATTTATTTTTGTGTGTGCAAATAATAGTTATTGAATGCAGTCTCTTACGTTAGGAATGTAAGTAAATAAGATATCAAAAATGAAAATGTGGTCTCATTCACACGTTGATATGTCATATATGTATTTTCATATTATATGAAACTGCGATAAAATATTTTGCTGATAGTTTAGAGATCGCTGCGGGTGCGTTGTGGATGCATTATAATTCACAAGTTTCCTGGTAATGTACTATAAATGAAGACCTTTACAGATTTGGTCAGAAAGATCTAGGTCACACTAAGTGAAGAAAAGACCAAAGTCTGCTTTACGCGGTCTTTATGCTACCCTGGAGACGTGACATATGATGTCAGCTGTGCCTTGACTTAAGTATTACTGAAATCTGCCCGTCAAACCCAGTGAACATCCTCAGTACACAAAGTAATGAAGAAAACAAAGTGAGCCCCTATACTAGCTTGTTTACTTAGAAGACATAATAAGCTTATTATTAACATAAACAGATAAGTTGCATAGCAATTGAAATAAGTTCAATCCATATCACTCTTTGCATATGTAATATATAACATCTAAGTCAGGGGAATGTTTGATGTAGCACAGATAAATCAATCTGGGTCTCACCTAAAGTACTGAAGGGCCGATTCTCAACCATGGCCACCACTTCTTAATGAAATGTGTCCTTTGTTCTGACTGAAACTGGTGTCAGCTTTGGGCCTTGTGTTCTTGATTCCTAGTGCTAACTGTATAGTGGTGAGGATTGGCTCTGGTTCCCTTCAGATTCTGTTCACTTTGATCCAGTCTCACTCCATTTTACTAAACACACGGGTGGGTGTAAATTACTGGGGGGGATGGGGGTTGTAACCCCCCCTAATAATCAAAACTGGGTAATACAACACCCCAAAAATCATGTGGGCAGTGACCTCAAACCCCCCCCCCCTGTTCAAATCAAAGCTACATTGATTAAACACCTTTTCCATTAACCTACACTGAAGGACTCATACTGGGAGACTCTGAGAGTTCAGAAGGATGAGGATTCCACAGAACACCACTTGCCAGAATCCACAGGTAGCAGGTAGGCCAAACCAACATCTGAACGCCTCCGATGTCATGTCAGGCTAAAAAGTGAAAATTTTCATCTGAACAAATGGCCCATGATGAGTTTCCTGGTCGTCCTGGTACTCACCTTGCGTTAAAAAACACCACGGAGGATGAGGCAAAGGAAACAGTGAGTTGACAGGTGGCGAATCAGGTGACAGCAGTCACCCAGATGATGGCGATCGGGACATGAAGGGCGAGCAACAAGGACAGTGGTCATGTGACTGTCCAGTCATGTGACACTGTCCAGTCATGTGATGGGCAGCCAGAGGACACAATGAAAGCACACGGACAAGGCGAGGGCACTTCGCTTTACTTTATTAGTCCACTGGATTGGTATGGGGTGGGGGGGTGGAAGTGGAGTGTGCAGTGTGAGGTAACACACTGGTGATATTCAGAAACAGTCAATGTAGTAGAGAGAACACGCACGCACACACACACACACACACACAGGCACACGCGCGCACAATGATGCACAGTTTCCCCATGCATATTTCTGTCAATCACCCATTACTCAGGAGAAAAGCAAGGTCTGCACCCCAATATGGGCCCCCAGCAAACACTGGGGGGGGGGGCTGCTTCGATTACAGAGGGCTGCACCACCTCTACATTCCTGTGCTCTCCCATTTCTCTTCTCTGCTGGCTTGCATTATTATTATAGAAGTTAAATTCAGCGTTGGGTCTAATGGATCAACAGGTACGGGCATGTGGTCTGCATGGAGGATCATCTGACAGCACGCAATCACTGTTTATGTGACTATGTGACACAGGACCCATGTCAACAAACAGCAATTCAGTCTGTCTACATAGCTTAGTTTTTTTGTTTTGTTTTTTTTACGTCAAACAAATGCACCCACTGGTCTTTAAAATAAACAATGCTAAGTCAGTGACGGAGGACACCGATCGATCGGTCAGTCTGAAGCCAGACAGAAGTCGTCTGTTTTGGCTGAGACAGAGCTCCGGGGGGGAAGGCAAGGGAAACCCACTGTTTCAAAATCCCGTTTCCATTTCCCAGCATAAAGCTGGAGAACAAACACACACAAAAACACCCTGGCTGTATCACTGCAGAACTGACAAACAGAACTGTTTCTGACAAGACGAGGAAACAGACAGAATGGCGTGACATTTTTTTGGACAGATCACAAAAATGTAGCAGGACAGCTGGTATACAAGGATGATGCAAGTACCTTCTCATCTCTTGAGTAGATCACTCACCACCAAATCAGGAAGAGCTTTATAGTAACTGTTGTTTTTTTTAAACTGAAGGTTGCAGGGTGCAAACGGACAAATGGTACTATGAAAGTCTTTAGAGCTTCAGGAGTGGACAGTGTCAGAATGTTCGGAAACTCCTGCTCCTACGTAATCTGGGTAAACGCTATTCGCTACTGCTGTTAAAAAACATTTGTTACTCCCAGCTCATTAACTGTGAGAAGTTCTACAAGGTATCCTCGGGGAGGAAAGTGCACACGTACAAACCTGCGTAAACCACCGCTAATCTTTTAATCGATTCATTTTGCGCAAGTGTTTTTTCGTTTTCCTAGATACGGTAGCTGCTCTTTTGTCTATTTCTTCTCCTTCCTGGTGGCCTTGCCTTGCCCCTCACTGTCGGGGATGAAGACACTTACGGTGAAGTCTCCGCTCTCCGTGCCGTACTTGTTCTTCACCAGGATGCTGTACTTGCCCGAGTCGGACGTGTTCACCGTGGTGATGGTGAAGCTGGCGAACTTGCCCGACTCGAACTTCAGGATGTAGTGGTCGTCCGACACCAGCTCGCGCTCGTTCTTCAGCCAGGTGACCTCAGGTACCGGGTCGCCGGAGATGTTGCAGGTGAGGTTCAGGGCCTGTGTGGTGAGAAAGCTGAAAATCTGACCCGGCCGTGGTGAAAACTCCCATGGTGCACCTTGTCTGGATGTACGAGGCCACCTGGTTCAGTATCGTCTTTGAAAATAAGCTAAACTGAGCCTATGTAAGATAAACAAGTTTTTATATGTTAACTGTTACTGCTCTCAGTGCACCAGACCGCCACTGGTTCATGGAAATATTTTAGATGTTGGAAAAAGGTTCAAACAATCTGAGAGACTTTGAACGTATAAACTATACAAAATACAGGTTCTTATACTGTAGATCAAGTGACCTGTCAAGAGCTCTTTTTCAGTATAACAGTCTTATTATGATTTCAAGATCAGACTTGTGGATGATCCACTAACTGCTACAGTCTTGACAGACATGAGTTTTAAGATTTCTGTTGGCACCCACTTAGGGGCGTATGGGGGTCTGGTGTGAGAGCTTGGGATCATTGGGAGCATTGATTGGAACCCAGGGAAGTGGCCTGGTCACATGACCCTACACACTGGAGATTACCTTGCCCTCCTGGATAGTGACCACATCGGGCAGTCCTCCCGCCACACGGGCTCGGTCTGGAAGAAAGGGCACACGCTGGAGGTAAGGGCACAACCTCATGGGGGCGCCAGAGGTAAAGGAGGTGCGTTTAAGGGCTCAGTTTACCTCACTGTGTCCTCCGCTTCAAACTACAACTACTATAACTAGCTATGCTAACTTCTGTATATTAAGCACTCCCTAGCCACTCTCCCCTATGGCTATGACTGCAGCAACAAGATTAAACACTTTGTGGATTATATCAAATCAAAAAACACCAAGAATTTCCTTAAAGGAGCAGAACTCAAATAACCTTTAAATCTCTTAATTTCTGCAGTTTTCCTTTTGCAGATATTTATTAATATATGTTAAGGTTCCTTCTGATGGGAGTGGAAGCTACTAGCCCCGACTGATCCAACTTCAAAGACAAAATGTCGATTTAGTCTAGCAAACAATGGAAAAACCCAAAGGCGCATGATGCCCGGGGGAACCTCTGTCAAAATAAAAGCCCAGGCTCATGCAGGCCTGCGGGGCACATTCTCAACGTCTCCTGTTTAACGCCCGGAGGGGTATGAACTCACTTCTCTCTGCAATGGCGGCAGCCCTGTGAAGAAAGGGGCAGATGTTAGGATGGCCTGAGCAGGCAAGGTTTGGGCGGCATGTTGCACAACAGGAAGTACGTCTGAGCTGACGATTCCTCGGAGCTATTTTTAACGCTTATTGTAAGAGATCCGTTTCAACTAGAAAAGAAAGCGATTCATCCATCCTGCCTGGCGCTGGCAAATGCAGCACTGAGGATGTGTTGTTGCATAACGCAGGGTTTTACAATTGCACATTTTATTTATGTGGCAGATGGTTTATCTAGAGTGACATACATTTTTCAAGAAGCAGGATCAGATGGTCCTTTGAGCAATTGGGGGGGGGGGGGCTAAGGGCTTTGATCAAGGGCCCAATGATGTAACCACTCTGGCTGTCGCGGGTTTGAATCTGTGACCTTTCAACCACAGGTAAACCATATATTAACCCACGTAACCACACATTACCCAGCTTTTCCAAATGGCCACATGCTGACCAAGAGAGGGGTACGTCATTCAGGCAGGTAAAGAGAAACACCGCCATTTGTCTAAAATATTGAATGAAACGCCGCATAAAAATGAGAGAAACAGGTAGAGCGGTTAAGGATCAGGCTTGTGAAAGACAAGACAAAGTCTCACATTAGCTGGGGATGTTAGTTGTACCTCCACATGGAGAATAAGCCTGAAGTTCTTATACTGCCATATATAAATTATAGCGCCCTTTACTGATTGAAGGACATGTGAGGTAGCCAACAAACAATATTATCATAACGGAGTTACTCACTTCAGCCTCTGAAATTCCGCATAGGCGTCATCAAACGCTGAGTCAGGGGAGAGAGGGAGAGATTTATAAGGGAGGGTTGCTGACTTTGCAATGACCCAGGAATCATGCAGATGCTGGGGGGGGGATCATCTTAAATGAGCGTACGAGTATGTGCATAACGTGTGAAACAGCCTGGAGTAAAAATATGGGTCGTGTTTCTACATTGTAAAAAAACTGCATGCCACCCTGTGAAAGGTGATCTGTTTAAGTAATATTATCTGAACCACTGTTTGGCCCTGCAGGGGTGGGCGTGGAGCAGAACGCACCCCGATTGGTTGGCACGCCCCCAGTGGATGGGGCCATTCAGACTCAGGCACGCCTCACCTTGGCCGGACAGATCCACGCTCCTGCGGAGGCCGCCTTTGCCATCGAAGAACTCGATGGCGTACTTGCCCTTGTCCTTCTCTGTGGGCTCGGTGATCTGCAGCCAGAGCTGCTCCCCCACCACGCCGCTCTTGATCCGGTCTGTGAAGGTGATGGCGGAGTCCCTGGGGTCAAGTTAAGGTCACGGTCAGGGTTTGGTTAACAAGGATACACTCACACACACACACACACACACACACACACAGCGCAATATCCACCCATGGACGTACATATACGCATACTGGCAAACATGGTGCTACAAAAACCCCAGTTGAACTGACATAGTTTCTGGGAGTTCTCCCCATACCAGCAGGGGGCGATCAGTCCCATGCAGGCTGACGGTAACCATGGCTTCCTGACAGTCAGCCTCAGGGAGTGCTAACAGGTGACAGGTAATCTCCTAAACTGGGAAGGTTTAAAGCCTACTTAGGTAAGAAGTCCAAACGGGCAAGTCAACGCTCTCTAGGAGGGAGAATCCTGGAGGTCCGCCGTCCTTAACGGCTTTCTGACTGCCCCCCTTTTGGTATAAACTTAGCCCCGCAAAGGGATATTTATCTGCACCCTCCTTGCCCAGCCACAGAATATAAATACAGGGACCCTTAGGCAGAGACATAAACACACACGGGCAGAAACGCCGTACTTGTGGTGCCAGGTGACGTGAAGCTCGTCGTTGTAGTAGTTGACGAAGGAGTAGAGTCGCACTCCCTCCTCTGTGCTCTGAATCTTCAGCGGTGTGGATGAGTTGGCTATGAGGACAGAGAGAGAAGCTGAGGGTCTTGGGCTGGTATGCTGCTCCGGGGTTACGCACTGGGAGCATGTACTACGCGGGTTATTAATGAAGACCCGCTAATTACTGAGCACAACGCAGATCTTCAGCGTCTGTCCCCCGACGGGATGCCCGTCCATCAGAGGACAAACACACAATGGACAGTTTAGAGATGCCAGTTAGCTTAACTGCATAGGAGTTATGAGTACCTAAAGGAATATCTATATGACAACAGAAGGACATGCACACCCCATACACACATGGTTGAGGTCAGATTTGAACTCCTGACCATGGAAGTATGAGGCAAAAATACTACTCACGTGCTCAGACATGATATCGAGATATAAATTCCGAACTGTGATAACAGGGCCATCTATAGCTATAGGTCCTACCAAAGAAGAAGCATGAAGTGGATCCATTTTAACCCTACTGGTAATTTTGATGACTTACAAGTTGACAACCTAGTCAACCACAGATCCTTAATCATAGATCCATTTATGAGCACCCAAAGAGCTAACACCGGCTGGCCAATACGAATCTTGGTGCTTCTTTAAATTTGGTTTTTGTTTTATTTTAGCATCTTCCCTGAGATGATAACTCAAGCACGCTAACTTCGGACAGGCAGCCGAACCACCAGCCAAGTCGTCACCGAAGATACCAGAGACATCGAGAGACTTACCGATAACACTGAACACCTGGTTCATCAAGTCCTTGAAACCTAAAACACATCAACCATTGGAAGTACATTAACACTCAAAACTGCTTTAACTGGTTGAAACATTCAAAAAAACCACTCAAGCTGACAGCCGCATCTGTGCTGACACCAGAAGGAGACTATGGTGGATCACTGTGTGCCAGATGTACAGTCATGGCCAAACGTTTTGGCAGTGACCAAAGGTTCTCAATGGGATTAAGATCTGGGGAATTTTTGATGTTTTTGTTAATAAAAGCCTTTGAAACTTATGAAATGTTTTTCTTATAAAGCCTTTGAAACTTTTGAATTGTTCTTCAGTATACCGTACTGAATCTAAAATTGCTGAAGCAGCAAATTTTGCGAAACACAAAATTTGAGTCATTGCCAAAACTTTTGGTCATCAGCTAGGAACCAGAACGCCCTTCAGAACCTTCTCAGAACCGGACTGCAATAGGTCGGGGGTCATTCCTCCATTCCAAACTGGAACAAGTTGGTGTCATCTACTCATTATTGATTTGTGTCAAACTAATTATTTTAAAGAGCCATGGTAACTAGCCACTGTGTAAAATCACATCCTGATGCCCATCAGTGGCTCTCAATTTCATTGATCAAAAGGTGGCCATCATTCTGAGAAGCTGTAACTTCCCTGAGTCATTTGTGACTTAGAGTCTACCATTGAGGCGATCAGCCACTTGTTTTTGGCTCTGTTGACGCTGACCTTGGTCGACAAGTTTCAGCACAGAGGTGTCTTTTCCTCGGTCATCCTTCACGGTCACTTGGTAGATGCCGGCATCTTTCTTCGAAATCTGCGGGAGAGATGGGTGGGATTTAGTGCCCAGCTTTGGCTGGAAGGGGGAGGGCGGAGTCACCCTTGTTTCGATAGAGAGGAAAACCGGAATTCCAGCTGAGAATTCCTCGGGTCAAGCTCCCGAAAAGTCAAGCTTTTCTCTCCTGCTTTGGTTGCTGCAGGAAAAGCAGGGAAAAAATGCACTCGCAAGCAGTCACAAAGTTGTTATGGCAACAGTGTGTAAACGAAACCCCCAAAGACATCCTCCTTGCTCCTGAGACTTACAGTTCCCTCCGTGTCCGGGGCTTTAGTGGTACTCAGCTGCAATAAGACACAGACGTTATGTTAGGACTCGCCCACTGTCAGATATGCGCTCCCAGTGGCAGTTTTCACCAACATTCACACCACGCATTTGCAAGGGACCCCTAGTGGCCACAAACAGTCACTACACTGGTGGTGGTGGTGGGGGGGTGAGCGCTGGGAAACAACAAATCTACTGGTTTGCACAACCCTCACATACTGGGAAGGATCTGACATGTACGGGGCTTGGGGATGATGTGAACCCAGTGAACGACTCAGCTTTTACGGTTCTCACCCCTTTGGTGTCACCCCCAAGTGGGATACGAACCAAATATGTTCACACTTATTATTTGATATGACCAGAATAATCTATATAATCAGAAGACACTCAAAATATTTGTAAAGAACATGTTAACAGAATAGAATATTTTACTCATTATTACAGTTATGCATTACTGTTCTAAAAATTATTTCTTTAAAGTAGAAAACAAAATACACACCATACACATCCTTCAAACAACTAAAATAAACCCATGTACACACATTGATAAACTTAGAGGTCTTCTATTTAGGAAGTAATGCTCAGAAAGTCAGTTTTCTCAGTCAGTCTGCTGGAAAGACGTCTTTTCTGGATGTTGCATTTGATCTTTGTATATTTGTAGCATAGTAGATATATTTTTTTCTTGGAATCTGTTAGCTCTTATAACACATGAAGCCCGGCCTGTTTTGGGATGTGTTCTCTGTGACCGCTCACCTGGGAGATCTCCAGGGTCAGCACACCCTCGGTGAAGGAGAGTTTGTCGTCCACTTTCACCTCCCGGTCGTCTTTATGCCAAATGACCACAGTCTCCTTCTTAATATTCCCCACCTGCAGGGAGCGATAGAGAGCAAAGCCTGAGAGCACCAGCTCTGGGGTTTGACTCCTTACACAACGCGTGATGTCACATCAAGAATCTGTTCTAACGCGACCGATTTAGCAGTACCCAAGTCCAATACCATGCAGAATTGCATTCAGTTGGAGAGAACAGCACTACGCAAAACTACAACGCATTATGGTCTTAGCGGGAAAGACTACTTCCACGCAAAAACAGCTATCCAAGTGAACGACAGTGATGTCCAATTTTTTATTGTTAGTGAATCGGTTGAACTGGTTTTCAAATCTAAAAGAATACATTTTTTTGTATATCGCACAGGTTAAAGTATTAAAATATTTGGCAAATTTCTTAAAAAAGGCATCCTTTTTTATTCTCTTGAATTGGCTTTTCATAGACTGCCGCTAGCCATTTTGCCTTCAGTGGCCCTCCGCATACTTTGTGCTGTTTGTGCTGTTTGCGCTGTGCGCATGCCCGGCTGCGCGGTGGCCCTGACTCGACAAGATAGCGAGTTCAGCAAGTTTGGTTGAAGTTTCAAGGCAATTCTCATGAGACCCATTCATGTTTATGATATAATTTATTAATGTTTTAATTATTTCTTATTTAAAATGCAAACAATTACATTATTGGCCACTGATTTCACCATTTTTATTATAGAATTCATCTCGTTTGGCGTAAGTTACTACGTTTTTGAGTCGCATTACCATAGCCTTATTTTTTTCCATTGGATATTAGTGTTTTAGTACGTGATTTTAGTGAATGCGAGGTTTTTCAGGAACGCATTAGTCGCGTTGTAGAGGGACTGACTGTACCTCTGCATACCTCTGCCAACACTCCCACCAGTCGACATGCACTGCATTGGTGATATAAATTCTGCTAACAAACACCTTTATCTGCAGGAGATACTGATTCGGGTTCTGCCAGTTCCTCTGGCTGTATTCGCAGCTCTGGGTAAGACTTTCAGTAGGAAGAATGTCGTTATGAACGAATGAAATTCATGAGGTAAGCCAGCCATTTTCAGGCTGAAATACAGGTCTGTACCGACAACTTTCCCATCATAAGGGGCTGTTTTTTTTTTTTTTTTTGGGGTGGGGGGGGAACACAGTCATTTCCCCATAGTTATGTGTAAGGCCTGTGTTTAGAGAGTCCTGACCTACTTCTAAGCCCGAGAGCAGGTCCCACACCATCTCACCTTACACTTCAACACCACCACGCAGTTTGGGGTGACCTCATAACTGAGGTACTCCACAAAGTGGGGGCCTGTGTGAAAACAACACAACAAAACACAACTAAGCTCACAGAAAAGAGCGTGACTCGACACAAAAGTATGGAAGCCCACCAGGATGGTGGGAGATTTTGGATCATGTTCTTACCCTGTTTTCTGGTCCACTCCTTCCTCTGGAACTCTGATTCCTTTCGGAGGTTATCAAATACTGCAAAAAAAGCAAATAAAATTCAAAACAGTCATAGTCTTTTGCGAGTTATTTTAGCAGTTGGTACAAATGTGACGTTCATCTGTTTTAACTGGCTAATTTTGCATTAATCTTGTATAATAAAGTTTTGTTGAACTTTTTTGGTGATTGGAATACTAAGTTAAAAATCCACCTGTCTAACTGTGTATAAAAGTAATACCCTTTCGGATACAAACTCTTGCGAAGGAGACATATCGTATTATTTAGTGATCAACTGGGGCAACAGAGGCGGTCATCTGTCAAAGTGAAAAATTTCTATGGCTTGCAGCAAGGACACTGGAAGTCGTCAGTGAGACAGCTATGGAAAAAATGTAGAAGTGGTGAATGTTCTCAGACGCATTTATCACTGAGAGGGAAGCACAACATGCATGATATATTACACTGCCGGTAGGAATGAAGAGCATGTGTGTAGGTCTCTATGGGTTGGTGACAGTGGAAGATTGTTTTAAGAAAGTAGTTCTCAAACTAAGGGACACAAGCTCCCTCTCATGGCAGACAGAGGTATCTCTGTATATAATCGTCGGTCATGATGGCACCTGGAGAACTTAATATAGTCTGGTGGGATGCGACAGCAGAAAGTGTTAGAACCACTTTAGCAGGAGAAGCAGTCGTATTGCCTAGAAACCTTTTTTCTCTATGGACCTCTGAACAAAAGAAGCCCTACAGCTTGCCCGGCGTACCATCGCCAATCAACACCAGGCTGGACTGGTTGGTGGCCTTCCCATCCTTCATCTGGAAGGTGTATGTCCCCTCATCCTTGGCCTCCAGCGATTCCATGAACATCTCGATGACTCCTGTGTTCTTGTCGAAGTTCATCTTGTATTTCTGGCGAGAGCAGAGTCACGTTCCAGTTCAGTTTACCTTAGTCAGGAGACACATGCCCTCCACAGCGTAGACACTGCCGCTTTAGGTCGCTTTCCCACTAAAGTTCAGGAACCTAGTTCCTGGTTCCAAGTTCCTGGCTGTCTTGACTGGGAACTTTTGTAGTTCCTAGCCAGTTTTGTGTGTCACTTTCCCACCGCATAACAGGAACTGGGACCTTTATGCTAAATAAGCATGGGAGATTCCTAAAGTTCGTAAAGTGCGTAAGATAGATTTTAACACACATTTTCATAGGAAACTACACCACTACGCAAAAATAATAAGTCATTTTGTTAGTTATTGGGGGATCGATCACGTGATCTGAAAGACAAGACACAGCCTATTATTTATAATTTATTTATACAACCTGCGACATGTTGATAATGAATTATTACATTTGGCCAGCAAATCTTTTGTTTTCCACAGAACAAAAAACAATGTAATGTTATATCTCTAATGAGAGCTGTTTCTCAATGCCAACAACACAAAGATCATACTTGTGGTCTTGGCAAGACCGGTTTTGCTACTGTAATTTGCCTTCCAAGAACAAACTTGGGGCACAGTGAATCATGGGATTGATCTCGTTTGGTGAGGATGGAACCGATGTATCCTTGAAATCTGGCGCGTGGCAAGAAGGCCATCTGGGGATGTTTACCATCCTCTGTACTTCTATTCTTAGTATTAGAACTGGTCATCAGCAAGGGAAGATGACTTAAAACAGGTTCCGGAACTGTCTCTGAGGAACCACAATTGGACTGAGTTCCTGCAGTGGGAATGTGACAGAAATTCCTAGTTCCTGAAAAAAGTCCTGGTTCCAAAAAAAAGTCACCGTGGTTTGGGACGGGGATACTCTGTTCGTTTCGCTTTCTCTTTCGCTCATTAAAGGAAGTTTACCTTACCAGGTTAGGACTTGAGTCATTTTCGGGAACTTCAACTACATTTTCAGTAAGGGACAAAACATCAGTTAGTTAATAATGGTAATAGACAAACTTGGGCTAATTTCCAAAGTTTTAAAAGACAGTCAAATATTGATGAAAAGAATTTGTCTTGCTCCATCTATTTCACATGAAATTAATGATCCCATTAAGACTATTGGTGCTTTTCCATTGGCATACTGGAACCAAGCTGCACCCGACCAGTACCGCAAAAGGACCACCTCGCTTCAGTTTGAAGAAGGGTCGGCTCAATATAGGTCTGGCAGGGTTGGAGAGCGACAAACGCTTGTTTACTGTTCACATGATGTACGTCATGATTTATAATGTGCACATTTCTCCTGGGACGTCTGTGAGAATCGCCGTGTTAGGTTAGCATTGAATGGCAGCGGAATTAGCATTATCTTGCGAAAATTTGCATTACGGGTCCATTCCGTTCAAGCTTTCTTTAGTATTTTTTTTTTTTAAGTGGGAGGCTGGAAATTCACAAATTTGGAATTATCAAGAATGCATTGATGTGTCTGTTTCTGGTGGTATTGATACAGCGTCAGTCTATGTTAAAAACTGTGACACCGTTTCGGTCTTTGTTGAAGGTTCTGGCACCGTTTGGGTCTACGTTCTGGGTCTGTTTTCAGTCTATGCTGGGGATTCTGACGCTGTTTTGGTGTGTGTTTAGGGTTTTGGGTCTGTTTTGGGTCGAGGTGGACGGGGAAGCTCACCTCTCCCTGACTCAGGATGTTGTCGTTGAACACGTAGTCCACCTTTCCGTTGGCGGAGATCTTTTCAGCCTGGAGCCAGAAGCGAACCCTGCCCTTCTCCAGCAGCTCCACGGCCAGGTCCGACTTCAGGGGGATAACTGCGGGGAAGGAGCTGTCATAAGCACCCTCAGCCCCAAGCCAATGGACAGCCAATTGCAGTCGGGGGGTGGTGGTGAAGAGGGGAGGACAGGATGGAAAATGAGAAGCTGCACTCACTGGGAAACTTATGATCATGGCTAATCTGTAGGAGCTCCTTCAAGCCTGAGAGGGAAGAGAACAGAGTCACCAGTCATTACTATTATCCTTATTGTCACTGGACAGTAGACGATCCAGTGGCACAATGTTCAAGGGTACAACTGAAAACCCCCTAACTCACCCTCCTCGGTCAAGGTGTAGCTGGCAGAGACACCATCTGTGTGTGTTACCATGCAGGAGTAGATGCCCAGGTCTTCCTGGTCTGGGGTCTTAAAGGTGACCTTTGACCTGCAAGGGGCACAAAGCATTCAAAATTAGCCACCTCATTACATGTAAAATCCTTAAAAGGTGATTAAACAAACAAAGGACATAAATATCACATAACACTGTTTTTATAGTGTCCATCCTTCTGAGAATGATTTTTTTATTTGTTTAAAAAATCTCTTACTCTGACAGTCATTATAACCTGGTAATAACATCATATCAGAATATCACGTCAGAATATTATAACCTGCAAAATGCACACACACACTTACTTTCCCCCCTTGGTCTCCATGTTTAGGCGAGCAAAATCTTTGATTTCCTCATAATCTTTGGACCACACAAACTTTGAGTCCTGCGTCATCTCAGAGCACTCGAAATTCATCGAGATCACGCCTTCATCATCCACTTCCACGACGATCTCCTGGATGCCTACGGTGGAAAAAATTACATAAATAAAAAAAAAAATAAAAAATTTCCATGATTACTTTTTGGTGATTCCTGTGGGGACCTCTAGTTTTCCGTCAGGGCAGTGTTCAGTTAAGTAAAAGGATATCACTGCCATCCTGTTCTGGGTAATCCATCCATCCACAAACCCATCCATCCATCCATCCATCCATTAACACTTATGATAAGCTTGGCACTGAGCTGTACAGTAGAGCTAATTGTTCCATCATCTACCATCAGCACTTTTTCAGCCCAAGACTGCAAGATTCTCACTAAGCTACTAGCTAAAAAATTATTTGTGCCAACAGCAAATACATTCATATTTTAAACTCTTTATCCAGTCCATCACAGGGCACGATGCAGGGGACACCCTGGACGGGATGCCAGTCCATCACAGGGCACGATGCAGGGGACACCCTGGACGGGATGCCAGTCCATCACAGGGCACGAGGCAGGGGACACCCTGGATGGGATGGCAGTCTATTGCCAGGCCGGCACTGGATGTATAGGGAGCATATCTCTGTGCCCTGAATGTATATTACAGTTTCAATGCCCACATCCCTCGCAGTATCACTTCTCTTGTCTGTGCAGCGTGTTTCACATGCCACGCTAGCCCTGGGGTCATTAAAGGTTAGCTGGCCCCCTGCTCATATGACAGTCATGTTGTCCTCCCTTGCTGGGTTACTGCCAGCTTTAAGGATTCTGGTTCTGTGCTATGAAGGCTTACCTGGGCGCGTCTGGGCCAGGATGGGCTCCGTGGCCTGGGAGGCCTTGCCCACACCAGCCTTGTTCTGGGCACGCACCCGGTACACGTAGGACACCCCCTCCTTAAGCTCCTTGATCTGTGCACAAGGAAGGAGAATCAGATCAGGTATTTTGACTCCTTTCCATCACCTGGGCAGTCCCCGTCTATCAGTCCCCGTCTACCAGTCCCCGTCTATCTCCTCCGTCAGTCGATTTCCATAATAAGCCACGTTGCCTCCATGTTTCCATAATGAAGCTCTTCTGTCAGTCACTTCCGTAAGCAGCTACGGTCCTGGTCAGCTTGCTGAAACACTCTAGCACTCATTGACAGATATCTCACATTATTTATTCAAAAAGGGTTTCATTTTAACTTTCAAGATTTAAATTCTAGTGGACCAAATTCTAGAAGTCCAACCAGTTTCAGTACCAAACCTTTTCTTACCAAACCAAAAACGGCCCCCCGAGTTCCTAACCCATTACACCCCCTGCTGGTAGACATGTGCACCTTCATGTACGTCTTGTTAGTCGCCTTCTCGTTGACGCCTCTCCACGCCTCCTCGGAGGCCTCAGTCTCCTTGATGTCAATGTAGAAGCCGTTAACGGGGTCGCGACCCTGGTACACCGGCGGCCTCCACTGCAACACCAGGGAGTCCTTGCGCACCTCCGACAACCGGAGGTCATGGGGCGGTCCTGTGGCCAGGGGGCAGCGCCATTGGCAGAGCCAATCAGCAATCAGCTATCATTATCGAACACAAATGGGCGAACAAGCTCCAGTCACATTAGCAATGCTGGAGAGCTTGTATCGAGGTTCTCGATTGGTCTTTAAAGGGCTCCCACACATGTAACAAGTCAGCTACCTGACTGTACATGCCATGCACCCTACAATCTGTGCTCAGTGATTGGTGGGAGCTCGTCACACCTGGAATAGCGATGGTCCACTCCTCACACCTGAACGTCTCGCTGGGTTTAGAGGGGCTTCCCACTCCCGCCATGTTGCCTGCACGCACCTGGAACTGGTACAGCTTGTTCTCCTTCAGGTCCGTCACCTGGAAAGCGAGACGGAGCTCAAAGACGTTATCCGGGCACTACCGTGGAAATCTCGCCCTCAGATCAAAGCCTCCCCTACAAAGGATACCACAGAACCCAGGGCTGGCCCATCCCTCTTTGGGCCCCAAAGCAAAATGTGATTAACCTGGTTGTCATTTGTCATCTTCCTTCCCATTGTAAAAAGCTGATCAGATGGGGCGCCCCCTGGTGGCCACTGGGCCCTAAGCATCTGCTTATGCCTTGGGCCGGCCATGCACGTAACAGCAATGCATGCAAAATCTTTCCAAACACAGAGGCCAAGTTGTCCCATGTAATTTTCATTATAAACCATCACTTATTTTTTAATCCATCGTCCTAGACTTAGATTTAGGGCATTTTCACTATAATGAAGCCAAGCTTTTGTAAATACCTCCTAATTAATCACTAGTCATTTATAATCTAATCATTTAGTTGCATAGTATACCACTGCGTCAAAACAGCTAATTAAGTATACAATTCATCACTTCAGCTGGTTTTGTTTGACACAGGAATGCTTCTCCTGTTTCCCTGTTGACAAGAGCATGCAGAATGAATAAACATGAACGTGGAGTGGAGAGTCACCCTGTAGGCTCTGTCGCTGATGGCCTTGATGTTCGCCTCGTGCCACCTGCCCGGCACTCCTGCCACCATCTCCCGGTAGTCCACGAAGTAGCCGGTGACTTCGGCCCCACCGATGAAGGTCGGCTGCTTCCAGCCAAGTACCATGGAGTCCCGGACGCTCTCCAGCAAGCAGATGCCATAAGGGGGCGCCGGGGATGCTGAGATGATGGGAAAATACCAATTAGCATATAGCTAGCAACTCAACTGGCTGAGGGAGCTGAAGCGCTGGTTGACCATCTGTTGAAGAACAGTCATCATCCCTCCACTCATCCATTTCTCACAAACGCTGATCCAATGCTATGGGCCTAGAGCCTAATATTCACATTTCCTTCCCAAATAATGTCAATTTTTGCCTTATGGAGATGTTATATATGTAATCTTTGAGGTTCTTGACTACCCAAGGGAGAGTCTGGGGCAGCTGGTAGTTTGAGGCAGGTTAGAGAATTAGTTACTAAACAGTGGCTGCCACACCAAAAGCTAATCATCCAACAAAACGTAAGTAATGTGGTAGTACTCTTATCCTGAATTACCGCCTTCTGTTTCAGCCTGGTAACACCAATGCTCTCACTGCAGGGGCAGCCCCTGAGGAACTCTGGGAAATGCAATGGCAACAGTAAGGGGTATCTGATGTCGTCAGTCTGAGACTACATGCATACACACTCGAGTGCTCTGCCTCAGGGTGTGTGAATAGTGCTAACTGGGGTGTGGAACTCTTCTGGGTGAAACTCTAATGAAACACCAGATAGATGCTTAAGTTGGGTGGCTGGCCACTGGTGATCTGGCACCTCGCCATCTTCTCCCTGGGTGGAGCCCGTTCTGGGCTGCTGCGGGATGGAAACGGCGTATTATGGGGTGGACTACAGGGTTAAGGAGTGTTGGCATTGGTAGGTGGTGCTCATCCAGACATCCGGTCTCCAGGATGGCGCAATGACTTCATCCTAAAGCTTGACTGAATTTCCTGTGGATGCTTTTTTAGGTTTTAAATATTACCCTATGTATGCACATCACATCATAAATCACTCCTGCAGTATTCAGGAGGTTAAATTCTGAAACTTTATTTATAATACCTACGCTGGCAAAACCTGCATGACAATCTGGGGTTGTCAGGAATAATGTTGAATGTTTTAAGTTTCATGTCAGTGTACTGTATATTTCTTACCTTAAAAAAAGTCATTCTAGACCTTTGGAATCTTCAGGCTAAACCTGTCAATGTAAAGTCCTGAAGCTGAATGCATGGTTGTCACCGCACTTGTGCACAAATTGATGAGGTTGAACCTCATCAGATCTTGGAAACCATGACCAACTGTATAGTCATTTTTTAGGTATCTCTATTTGGCACAAAAGACAGTAGTGTGGCCTTTGATTAGCTGGTCCAACAGCTTGGCCAGGGGTTTATAACAGGACATCAGGGCATGAGATTAAGGCCATCTCATTTGATTCACGCTGTGTTTGCATGGAACCCCCTAGGTTTGGGCGCCCCCTGTTGGCCACAGACAGTCACTACACTCAGGGGGCGTGACTTTGTGAATGGGGCCCCAAAAACAACAAACCCACCCCTGGTGGCAGTCCTCACCCCAACCCCGGCAAAAAGTCTTGGTAACCAGGGCAAATATAGGAAGACGTAAGTCCCATGAAAGTGTAATCAGCAAGTACACAGCCTTCCATTACGCAGTACATACAGCTCTCCAGTACACATCTGGAAAGAGCCTGTCCTTCAGATGAAGTGCTGAGAAAACAGTGCTAGAAACAAAGAAATGAATTTATGTGTCTTGGACGTGTTTAATGGCCGGTGGTGTTTTCATTGGGCCGGTGTGTGACTGTGGGTTAGGAGTCCGTCCAAAAAATTTGCCGGTTGAAATTTTGTACTTGGCAGGGTAATGATATTACTGTTGGGCCCAAAAGCAATGCCTTTAACCCAAAAAAGTGCTGCAGGGGAGCCAGAAAAATGGCTGATCCTGCGCTCAGACCCCAAGCTTCACTGTTTCTCATAGACGGGTAAATTCCTGTCTATCCATATTTTTAAAATGGCAGTGAAATCTGGGTGGTTTAAGCCAGTGCGTGACATAGAAGAGGCTGCTCTTGGCTACAGACCTTCACTCCCACCCTGAGGTTCACCAAACGATCATGATCTTGCATAAAGACTCATATGGCACAACCCAAGTTGGCTGGCTAGGCCTAACTGATCTACCCACTGCTGGCATTTAGCTTTAGGAAGAGAGACTGAACTGACAAGAAACATTGTTGTCCACTTTAAAAAAAAGGACAATTATCATCAAAGTGGAGAAAAGAAAAGATGAGGAAAGGAAAAAACAAAAATGAAAAAAGGAATAAATGGCAAAAAATGGAGAACGTATCACTGAAAAAGATCATCCAGTTTACGTAAATCTCACCTGCTGGGTCATTGATTGATTTCTCTCCACTGGTGTTGGCTGAAGTTCCTACAGGGGACTTACGTGCCCACTGGGGCACTGGCGGCCCACTGAGCTCCAGGACCGCAGGCGCACTGCCGGTTTGGGCCTCCTTACTTACTACAGGCCCGACTGCCTGCGAGTTAGGAGCCCCGGACGGGCCTGAAGACTCAGTGAGCTGTTTTAGCAGCGTGTCGGGGGGGTGGCAGGTGGCCGCATGCTGACTAGCCTGGCGGGGCGCGAGCACAGTTAATCCACCTGCGTTACCCTCACGAGGTACTCCGCCCCCTACAGGAGTTAGCAGGGAACAGCAGAAAGAGAGGCAAACTCATTTAGACAGGAGTCGAGGTTACAGCACACGTAAGTTGATCTTCATTTGTTCATTTTTGGCCAGCACGAAAACAATGAAGAAGGTCATGCAACAATTGGGTGGAGCAGCATGCGAGCGGCTTGGTGGCAGAGGATCTCCTAGGTCTGTGAGAGTGACAGTACACTGGTAACGAGGTGCTAATGACAGGATTGAAATGGAAACAACTCATCAACTAGAAGAGGAACACATGACGTCAGTCTGCATCATTGACCGGAATCAAAGCACTGGGAGAGTATTGGCTGTCTCCAGCTAGGTCTCAGCTACTCACAATGCCCTGCAGGCATATTTACATTTGATAGAGCAGAAGGAAGTTTCGAGTTCCTTCTTTATTGACATCGATGGGGAGTTGCTCCCCCGAATACTCTGGGGCTAGAGTTTCCCAGAATACACTGGGTTTGTGTCCCAGTGTGGCAAGGGTTTGTGTCGCCTTGCATAAGGACCAGAGAATGTGGTCCCCTACAGAGTACAGAGAAGATAGAATAGTGGTACTGCGAATTCTGAAATTTGGAGTGTTGAGTACCACGATCAGGAGGGTTTGAGTCCCTTCTTCATCGATGTTGACCAGGGTTTGGTCCCCCTAATACTCTGTGGCAAGCTTCCCCCAGAGAACACTGGGTTTGGGTCCCACTGTGGCCCACTGTTCATGTCCCCTTGCATGAGGACCAGGACCAGTAGGTATGGTCCCTCACAGTGACCAATGAGTGTGGTATCTAGATCACCTTTTCTGGACAAAATCCCTTACCGAGAATATTCCCAGGTTTTTGGTTGTATTTTATTTTATTTTGTTTTATTTGGTTTAAAACTGATTCCATTTCTTTTGTGCCTGTTGTTATGCTTATTTTAATTCCTTTCTTTCGAATGGCTGCAACGCACTTTGTAAACCCTGTGCTTAAAACAGTACTATATAAATAAAGATTAATTAATTGATTGATTGAAACCCCTGAAAAGCAGAATATATTCAAAAACGTTACATCTGTGGCAGTCGTGTGAGGTGAGGTCTCACAGTAGACTAGTATGTTCAAATCCCAAGTCAATGCTACTGTTTACTCCTGAGGGTTGTTTTAAATCATTTTAATTAACAAATAGAATTAATATTAAGGAATTAATTTGCCTTAAAGGCTTAGATTAAAGTACCATGCCAGGTTCCATAGTCAGTAATTCGTTAGACGGGTTCTTTCTGTAGTAAGGAATTACTTTAAAGTCCTTGTTTCTAAGGATGCATGTTAGCAATGCCATATTAATGAGGAATTAGCATCCCATAATAACAAGGAAAAGGTGAGAGAGAGATAAAGGAAGTAGGACGGAGTACCTTTTAGACTGAGAGGCGGGCGAAAATATGCTCCAAGGAGTGGCGGTGTAGTAAGGGTGGGTGTGTGACGATGCTGGGTCACGTGAATCCAAACGAGCGGAAGTCTACGAGTTCTTCACGGAAGTGAAGGAGTGCAAGGTGAAAGAGTGCTGGTAACGCTGGGTGTCGTGTTGTGTGATGGAGTGGTGGGTGAGATGGGTGAACGCGATTTGGATTTGTTACTATGGAGCAGAATGACTTGGGGGGGATTTGTGAGAGAATGAATGGATAAGGGGACACTGACTCCACGCAGAGCGGCGAACATTGAGTCGGTGAAGAGAAGGAAAGCAGCAGCAGAGTATGAGTGATTCAAGGACAAGCAACATCAAGATGGAGGCCAATCAACAACATATAATACATTGAGTACTGACTGAGTACTCACTAATACTTGTTAAGTACAACAGTATTCGGTAATACTCAATAAGTACAACATTAGACCTATTTTCGAGCAACTGAAAATATCTCGACTCCCATGAAGTAAAAAGCAATTGTCCAAGTTGTCTTTTTTTCAATTATCTGTATCACTAAGGAACCCAAAGGGAAGTACATGGAAGTGAAAATAGCCGGCAATAAACATAATATCTGCATTTCAAATAGTAAAGTTCTTTCTGGACTAGAAGCCATACATATGGCAGCATACCCCTCACCCTGCTGTCACGCTAATTCTGTACGGCGCCTGCACTCACCGATGGCAGCTTTGACTTCGATGGCTTCGGATTCCTGTGAGAACCCGCTGAGCCCGGCGGCATTCAGAGCCCGCACCCTGAATGTATAGCTGTCTCCAGTGGTGAGGCCATGGCACACGAACCTGCGGGCGACCCACAGAAAAGCTGTCAGCGAGATGGGAATCCCGGCTGTGCTCTGTCAGGAAAACGGTGCTATGGAACCAACCGCTTAGCTTCCTGTCATGGCTTTTATATGCTAACCCAGCGTTCCTCAACCCAGTCCTCAGAGACCCCGAGACAGTCCACATCTTTTCTTCGTCCCAACAAACCTGTACCAGTTATTCGGTGTTCTTGATTATTTGGTGTTCTAAGAGGGAACAAAAATACTGTATGGACTATCTGGGGGTCTCTGAGGACTGTGCTGGATTTGAGAAAGCACTTCTTTACACAGCATGTAGTTAGAGTATGGAATCTCTCTCTGCTGGTATAGTACAAGCTAAAACCCTGGGCTCCTTTAAATCAGAGCTAGATAAGGTTTTAACAACTCTGAGCTATTAGTCGAGTTCTCCCCAAACGAGCTTGATGGGTCGAATGGCCTCCTCTTGTTTGTCAATTTCTTATGTTCTTATGTTCTAAAAAGGACAGGGCACAGTGAGAACAGCAGTGAGCCCACCCTCCACAGCATTCAGAATACCTGGTGCCTTTCACTGGCTTGTTGTTGCACGGCTGCCAAGCATCCTTGCCAACCACCGTGGCCTCAATGTAGTAGCCCACCAGCTCCTTAGCATCCTTAGACGCCTCCCAGGAAACCACTACCGACGTGTCCGTGTTCCTTGTGGGCACCACGCGACCCGGAGACGAGGGGATGTCTGGAGGATTGAGGAATGTCAAATGCTCTCGCTACCTCAGAACAAATGGGTTGACAGCTTAGAGATGAGGGGAGCAGTTTGTTCCTCCCAAACACAATAACTGCATCCTGTCATGTGATACATACATACATACTTGGTTCAAGATTCAAAACAACAGGTCACTTTCAGCTAGTCTTCTTGAAGGAACTCACCCAGCTTATCACCAACCACGGTGGCCTCGGTGGGTTCAGACGGCTCCCCGACTCCGGCCGAGTTGGAGCAGCGCACACGGAAGCGGTAGGACTTGCCCTCCGAGAGGTCAAAGAGGGCGAAGCGGGGAGACTTGACCGGGATTTCAGTATTGACCCTCTGCCAACTGTCTGTGCCAGCCACACACTGAAACACATGAAGTGGAGCAGTTCAAGCATGGCGCACGTGTGGCCATGGAGAGCTGATGCGAATATGTCATGACCACACCAAGGAAGATCAACAGGAAACCTGACCACACCCACAGACCTAGACAGGAGAACAAGCCACACCCACAAAGCTTGACAAGGGGACTGACCACACCCACAAAGCTTGACAAGGGGACTGACCACACCCACAAAGCTTGACAAGGGGACTGACCACACCCACAAAGCTTGACAAGGGGACTGACCACACCCACAAAGCTTGACAAGGGGACTGACCACACCCACAAAGATCAGCAAAAGAACTTTAGTGGGTTTCTGCCTCCTCATACAGGCTTAACACCCATCCCCTATTCTTTCCTCCATTACCCAGAATTTCCATATGAGATGCTGCTCATTTAAAGGGACCATGAGAACAGATGGTCTCTTACCTTTTCCACATAGTACATGATGCCCTCATGCCCTCTCTGTCCAGGAGGCTTCCAGCTCAAGACCACATAGTTCTTAGTAGCCTCAGTTACAACCAAATCCTGGGGTTTTCCTGGCACCACACCCTCTGAAGGGATGAAGATGGACCGTTCATATTGGGTTCACAGTCCTTCGGCATGGCATTTTTATTCCTGATTCCACAATGTTGTTGCATTAACAAACTCCTTACACACCATTACTTGGATTGTATAAAGTGATGATGCTCAGCAGGATTAAGTAGCTGGTTAGTATTGAACCCCCAAGGGATTTTGTTCCATTCATACAAGAATTTTTACCATTTGCGGTTTTTCCCCCCATTTTAACTTTCATAGTGCAGTTATGTTTGTCTGTGATGCTGTAATTGATTTGATCACCTAATTGCCAATGCTTCGATAAATAATGCAATGGTATTTAACTTGTGAGGTAGATGAAATGTGATTGGCAGTAACAGGCTTGTACTTCATACCTACAGGTTCTTCCTCTGTGACAATGATCTGTCCAGTCCAAGGAGCCGTGGTATGACCCTTCATACGGGCGCGGTCAGCGGGATCCATGGCGGCAATGGGCTCCGAGGCCCGGGACGGGTGGCTCATGCCCGACTTGTTGACGGCGCGTACCCGGAAGACATAGGAGCGCCCCTCCACCAGGCCCGTCACAGGGAACCGGGCAAATTTTACCGGAGTGTCATTACACTGGATCCAGTGTGTGGTGCCCACCTCACATCTGTGACGAATGAACAGACAGCATACGTTTCCTTTGAAGGGCTTCCATTCACGATTTTCATCTGTTCGTAACATTGGAAATTCCCGTTCCTTCCTACCAGATACCAACCAATAGGAAGATCTTGCATTTCGTCAGTCATCGTATCTACAATTTCGTATTTGGCCACAGGATGGCAAATCATTTATTACTCACATCAATTAACTATAGCCTAGGAATGAACCAGTAGTCTTGCTACATCAAGACTGTACTCTTAACCATCACGCCACCTGCTGCTCCATTGGCTGCAACCCGTCTCTTTTCTGGTTTGACTTTGAACCTCGCAGATGCGACGTCTGGGGCTGACCTGTCCACGAAGTAGCCGAGAATGGGGCTCCCTCCGTCCACAGCCGGCTGCTTCCATGTCACTATGACGTAATCCTTGTTGGCATCCTGACACACCGCGTCCAGGGGGGCTGTGGGGGCTCCTTGGAGCTCAGCGTCCGCGTCTAACACACACACACACACACACACACACACACACACACACAGAGGCGGGATTAAGATCCTAGCTGTAACCACACACCGTATTACAGTACAGGATGTTAGGTTCTCGTAGTGCTTTAAGGTAACGCTAAACACCGAGTGACCTCTGTAGACAGAATTAGAAGCGGCCTCGCAGCCTCAGAGCGAAACCCAACCCCTCGAAGACGTGGCAGCTAGACGACGATGAAATCAGGCCAAGTGCCAATCAGGTCCATGTCATCCAAACCACAGCCTTCACAGCGGTTTTTAACCTTTACACACAGGGTAATGAACCCAGACGGGAGTGTTTGCTTTAACGCTCCGATCGCGCCAAAAATGACGACGGCACCTAGTGGCTTTTGGAATATTCCAGACTGCTGGTTCTGGATGCTTTGCCATTTCTGACTTTAATGATAAGTACAGAGTCATGTGTCATTACAGCCCAGCCACATTAGAAGGAAATGACCGCAATAGTCAGAGGATTACAGGTTTAATTAAAGGCGGCTATTAACCAGCTGGTAAGACAAACTACAAAGTGTCAGGCCAACGAATGACACAGATACTTTCTGTACAGCAGAAGTTGTTTCATTTAAATAAGTAGAAGTCTTGTAAATATGGAACGATGGTTCAGTGGTCTCACAATCTCAAGGTTGACAGTGCAGGTCCTGCCCTGCCTGCTGTTATTCTTTTCAAGAATAATCCTATTTTCCTCTCACCGTTTAAAACCATTTCATGTTGACATCTGCAAATTGCCCATAATGCAACATAATGCTGCCTATGATGTCCTTTGCCTTGTACAGCACAGTCACGTACATATTCACATAAATACCTTTGCATTTTTAAAAGCAATGTTTTATAATTCAGACAAAATTGTCTATTAATGAAGCTCTTTTTTTGTTTCCGTACAGAAAATTCCCACATTTTGTGACTATCTTTTTATATATAAAACTATGGGTTAAGCAGCAATACTTTACTAATTACAACAAAACTAATGAAACTAGTAATGGGACAGAATGGCAATGGAAACCCTGTGATGGGCGGGATTACTGTCAGCTATCTCGTGTGTAGCTGACTCTCCATTGGTTACCATCATCAAATGACAGGAAGTTGCAGACCGAGATGAACAGGGTGAGCCGTTAGTTTCACTTCCTGTGTCGGCACCACGTGGGGCTCCTCACCTCTGACAAACACGTAGGCAGAGTGCGTCTCGTAGCCCGACTTGGTGGAGACCCGCAGGGTGTACAGGCCCTCGTCCTCCTTGTTCAGGTGCGTGAGGGTGAGGGTGGCGCGGTTCCCGCTCCAGTGCATGTGCGCCCACTTGGACGGCTCCAGCAGGACGCCTGTGACCACAAGGGGGTGACAGAGAGACCGACCTCGGTCACCCGGCCGCACGCGCATACATCGCCCGGCGTCCCCAGCGCAAAAAAGGGGTATCTGTAAAAATAACTAGTGCTAACATTCTGTACTTCATAAACTACAGCATTAAAAACTATTTAAACAATGGTAGGTCTGCATCTAATGTTAAACCAAGCATTTATGTAGGTTTACAAAGACGTGTTAACAGGCCAGCATGACATTTTATTATGTGCTAAGTAAAAATAATCCAAGAACATGTGAAATCATTAGCAGTCCTTCCGACGTCTCTACTGCTGTGTCATTGTGTTTCGTCATGCCCGTCCTCACAGGGGGCGGGGGGCTTTAAGGGCCCTGATTGGCTCTCCAGCTGGCCCCCCCTCCACTTACCGTCCCGGTACCACTGCACTTCAGGCTGGTAGCGCTGGATTGTGGGATAGATGATGACGGTGCAGCCCAGACTCATGGTCTCGCCCTCACGGCCAAACGACACGTCGAACGTCTCCACGATATGCGTCTCAAAGGTGATGCCGTACTCAGAGCAGAAGCCGGCTGGGGTTGGGGTGGTGGGGGGAGCGGGGGGGGGGTTCCGATTGAGGATCAAGGAGAAAGGGACAAGGGTTCTGATGCTGAATGGAGGAGTTTAACCCAACAGCTATGAGATTATTCATTGCCCTTGAGGAACACCAATGTGTGAGGGGCTCAGAGACGGACTGGTGCAGTCAGCCTGCGCGTTACAATTCCGGTTCCTCACTCCCCAGCCACACCAACACGGAACAGGGCCCTTCAATCCTGTCCTTAAAACTGCAAGGGCCTGACCTGCTTGCATACCTGTGTTTATATAGTATTGCGTGTTCAATAGATGTGAGAAAGGGAATAAAGACTTCAAAGGGATCAAAGCTGATTATGATAAATTGTAAAAAGTATATGTCCTTTTACATAAGTATTGATTATTATACCATAGCTGCTGTTAAAAGTGTGTTTTACATATAAGCATAGTGAAGCAAGAGTTAATTTAGTATCTCTATCTTCATATACATACCAAACAGAAGTCTAAATGAATATGATATATACAGTATATGAGCATAATGAATATGGTGTATATGAGCATAATGAAGAGTTACATCTAGATTCAGTCTCACCCTATCAGCTAGGAGAGCTAGAGAGCCAATCAAAATCAGCTCATTTACTGACTGCAGTTTCCCTGATCTCATACTGTAACTGGAAACCGCTCATGTGGCCCATTGCACAGCACAAACGAGACACTGACTGCAATCCCAGCATGCTCTCATCCCCATTGATGTTACAGGGGCATCAAGCTTCTTTAAACTGTATCACATTTTTATTAATCACATGTTTTTAACGTGAGGCAGAACCCAATTGTACTAAACATTACAGGTACTAATGTTAATTTGATAATGCACCATTCATTCATACATGTCAAACGGGAGAGCTGACACAAATACTCACGCTGTCTGGGAGCTGGGAGAGACTCGTCTATTTCTCCTTTGAACCCTAAGAACGAAAGCAGGACCATTAAACTGCACTCATTATGCAGCAATAGTGAGTGATCATGTGAGTATTACCAAGACACCCATTGTGCTCTTTAGATTTTGCACTACATGAAACTATTTGAGAGCTGCTGATGTTTTTCTTAGCATAAAATGCATCAACTGCATGCTTAAATCCGGCTGACTCTCTGCTGTCACATGGTCAGGATCTCCCTTCATTTGCAGGCTTTGAATCTGGCCTAAATGGTCATGAAGCCTCTGGTCCCCCTGTATGCATCCTGGTCATTCGATTTGTTGACGCTGAAACAGACCTTACTTTGTAAATCTGAGCATGTTCTGGTGTCAGATTGTTTTAGTACCGATACCAGGACAAGCTTGTGACCTAGACGAGGGTGTGTTCTGGATTGAGGTTACTGAGAAATCAATGGGAAATCCCAGGCAAAGTCCAGATCTGCCAAACAGAGCTTTGGGACAGAGTAGGGATGCGTTGTCCCATAATGATCCCCAGAATCTGCCCACCAGTCGAGATCTGGCCATTTCAGGAGAAGGATGTATATTTAGGTTGATTGTAATCTTCCTGTAAACTATACTGAAACTGGACCACTTTAACCAACGTACAGCCATACAAACTGGTGGAGCCTAAACAAAACTTAATTGGAATAACCTGTAACATTTAACCGATATTTTTATCAAAAGCATCTTACACTTTCTATGACTATATTTCACTTGAGCAATTCGGATTAAGTGCATGACGCAAGGGTACAACAGTATGTCTGAGTATGGTGAACATCTGGTGCTAATTCGAGATTGTTGGCATTTTACAGTTGTTTGTTAATTTACATCTATTTTATTTGGCAGAAGCTTTTACCCAAAGTGACGTACATTCAGTCAGTTCCTAGAGCAATTGGGGTTTAAGCACCACAGCCAAGGGCCCAATGGTGACATCACAATACTGACTCTAAGATTTGAACCAGTGACCTTCTGATCAGCGTCCCAACCTACTGAGCTACACACCACCACACTAACTAGTGACTCAAAGGTGAATGTGCGCAGTTGGCTACACTGAGATCCATGACCTTATCCAATGTCTTGTTGAGTTGTGCCACTACAAGCACTTCAGATCAGGCAGCTTCTGGCTACCAGGAATCCAAGTCGAGTGCAATGTCATGTGACAGAACTGGGGGGCGACAGAGGGCTCCAAGGACCTACTCTTCACCACGATGGAGGCGAAGGCAGAGAGCTCCCCCTTGGAGTTCATGGCGGACACGCGATACTGCGCGGTGTCATCGAAATCACATCTGAAAGGGGAGAGGAAGACGTGTGACAGCTTGGGGCTCGGGCCAAGGACCCAATGAGGCACGCCCCACGAATGCCCGACGATGACAGACATGTGACGGATCTCAGAACCACAGACTGTAGCGAAAACCGACGTGTAAGAAGGATGATGTAATGCATGTCACATGATCATTATCTGGTAATCAGGAGGTGTGGGTAATCTTAATGTGATATGAAAAAAAAAAACTACATTATTTCACATTTCTCCATTTTTGTGAAAGATCAGTGCAACAGATTCGCCAAAAATTTTAAATTATGGAAGAGAACCCGCTGTAGTAAATTAATATATAATTTGCAAATGGTACAACTGGTGTAACAGGCAATGAAGTCAGCCTAGTTCAGAAAATCTAGGGGGTATGATTGATCTCAACATCCAAAGATCAATTGCGCTCTATCGTCACTGATTTTACAAAGCAACTTAGAACTAGAAGCAGGTTAAATAAACATCACATTGCACTGTATTCGTGAGCATGTGAGGCCTGTAGCACTGCTTTTATGTTTCCATACTGTACTACCCCAAAATATTTAAAAACCCAGCAACGAATCAGCTACTCTAGTCTGACCTGAGCCAAAAATAAACCACAACTGCCCTTTATCGGGGCAGAATTCCTTTCGGAGTGCTGTTGTGGTATAATTAGATGACCTCTTTGTTATCGGGGGAATGGATGGGGGTGGGGGTTAGGAAAAGACGGGGGCCACTCAAAATGTTTTTCTGCTACCATGCCAAGCAAGATCGAGGCGGAATGAGGCAGAACCATCTGGTTTCTCCTTTGCGAACTGGAACCAGAACATTAACTGTGGTCACAGTGTAAAACACTTTGAACTAGATCGACTAACTTGTCCCCTAGATTTCCCTTGAAGAAAAGCCAGCAAGCTTATATTTCACATAGTACACAGCTAGCTTTGCAAGAATAGCCGTTAGATCAATCATTTTAAAGCTGATGATTAGTCTCATGCACCGAAGGGTCTAATATTTCGTTCGATCAATGCAATGTCAGAAAAGTAAAAGGCCAGGGGCACGATGTCCTGGCTCTCTCCGACCAACACCACAAAACTCTGAGCCACACCTATCATGAGAGAGAGAGTTTGGAGAGATAGTGTGATCGTGTTGCTGTGACGACTGACCTATGACCACTATTAGAATGTTTCCTAAAGAATTCCGTATTGCAGCCAGCAGATGTAACTCGGGAGGGCTCTGTATCGCTATCAGGAGGACTGGCGGCTATAATCGCGGCTGGAAAGCAGCGGAAATAATGAAGCAGGGTACTGGGGCCACCATCAGAAGTGCTCGCCTACCTGTTAACCTCCAGTGAGTGGACGTTGTAGCTGCTCTCGATCTTATACTTGCCCGCATGTGCGAGCGGATCGATAGTGACATTGTTTTTGTACCTGCTCAGGGATAAGGGGACAGAAGAAAGGGGGGAAGGAAAAATCAGTGGAAGAGACACAAGCAACGGAGGTGAAAAATATCAGCAGACATGCGAATGAAAGTCTGAGGAGGACAAGAGCTGGAAATGAGGAGAAAATGTGAGAATCTCAGGTAGCTGGGAGACAGAAAAGAGCACAAGAAACCTCCTGAAAATATGAAGATCTTTGTGAGGTTCCCAAAAGCTGTCTAATCGCTTGTAATTATCCAGGTCAACGGAACCATCTGTAATGTTGCCAGCCAATTAGCACTTCCTACAGATAAACCTCCCCATTGGTGCCACACAGCACTCAAACTCTAAAATAGGCCACAGAAGTGTAGCGGCCTGGTCTGTTTGCGTGCGGCTCCAGGAACGGCATTGTCCTTCCAGGAAATAAACCCCGGCTACGTCCAGCGAGAACCGACGTCCGCCAGCACAGCTTCGGGCCTGAAAGGCTTACTCAGAGGCCACAAACGCTTTCCAAGAACCGCGTTGTGGTCTTTGCCACAACATGGAGTCCTAAAGTGGCCAGCAGAGGGAGTAGTGGTTAATAAGGATGTGGGGCCTAAGAGTTGGTTGTAGCATAGTCACCGTGGCTCAGTGGATAGCCCCATACTCCCGGGATCGTGGATTCAATTTCTTTTTGTGGATAAGCAGCCAGAAGATATGTATGGATGGAAGTATATATATTACATAAATAATAGAGTAAATATATAAACCAATACAGTTTTTTTTTATTCTTATCTGTTACACAATTTCCTGCTTCTTACCCAGGTTATGTTTTACCCCAATGTAAGCAGCAGGGGGCGCTCACCAGACAACACGCGGCTCCGGCCAGCCAGTCACGGTGCAGTGCAGCCTCACGCACTGCTTCTCCCACACGGTGTGGGAGCGCGGCTTGATCACGAACTCCGGAGCGTGCTGCAGGCTGTCCTCATTCATCTGCCGGTGATGTTCCTCGTTCTCGTAGATCTGGGTGGGTAGGGGGGGGGGGCGACAGACAGTGTTGAGTGTCTAGTCCCCCCCCGCTAACTATTTAGAGCAGGGAATCCCAGAATTCAATATTTTGAATATTTTTGCCTCTATTGTCTTGAAAACAAGGCCTGGATTTGGAATCGAGGGCCAGATTTGAATAGGGGGGAGCTAAGGGGAATCATAACAGGCGACAGAAGTTAACCCGTAACCCAAGGGCTCCATCAGAACAAAAACTGTCCTTCGTTAAAGCTAGGGTACATCGGGGGGCCCTGGTCTGCTAATTTTATTGCCACCCTCCGGCTTAACAACCACACCACTGTAGAAAACAGTAAGGTGGCCTCTGATGACTCAAATAGCCCAGGGGCCTCTGACCACGACAGTGTGGGATTCTGACTGCCTCCGTATTGTTCCGGCCCACTGGGGAGTACCAAAATGTCACTGTTCTTAATGTGTCACAGCAGTGGCTCTCAATCTGGGGTATGCCCATCCCATTTGGATTGCGCGAAGTCCTATCTGCATCTAGGAGATCCTCTCTAACTGAAAGCGGACACGGGACAGATTTAATATTTAGAAGCACTAATCTTTGGGGGGGGTGGTCCTGACAGATATCCAGTCCTGACCTGGTACGTGCATGACATGCTTGTGCATTATTACCAACAGCTATTTATAAAAAGGATCTTAGCTCTGTTGAAACCACAACACACTGTACTGTAGAGAAATTTTAAGGTCCACGTACAAAAATTTGTGATCTTTTAACGGTTAAAAAACCTCTATAATGCAGGATTAGACAAAACAAAAATAAAATGTCCATGATGGTGGATCATTGGGTAGCATTAGCATCTTTTTATTGCCAGAAGTGTAGGGTTGAGGATGCGAGAGAGTAGGCCTGTGATGGACTGTTACTATATGGACCTTGTTGATCACATGATAGGGCCGTCAAGGTCATGTGACCGGGGTGTCCAATCACTCGCCTTCTTGCTCAAAGAGATGCGTTCGGCAGACTCCCTCATGGCATAGCGCCTGGAGGTTTGCTCCACCCTCTCAGCCTCCATTTTGCTGGCGAACAGGCTCCTGCGAGCCAGGTGGCCAGCGCTCTCCTTCACTCGTGCCTCCTCCGTGTCGGACAAGCCGCTGGCAAACTCCTGACTGTGAGGGAACAGAGGGCGTTGCGTCAGTTAAGGATAACAGTGGCCATTTAAAACTCTGTAAGGGCATCTCAGGAGGACAGAAGAAAAGTTAAAAAGGGACGGCCCATTGTCATCGGTATGCCTGCTGCAAACAGCAGACAAGAAGTCATCTAGTATGTATGTCAATTTTCAATTGCGACCCACTATGACCAATCAGAGACAAGTTTAAGGCTACCATGAATATAAAGTCATCTGTGATTGGTCGAAATGAGGCAGCAGTCTCAACCTGTCCTGGGGCTCCAGAGCGAAGAGTTTTTGGCTATAAAGTTAGTTGTCATTGGTCAGAAAGGGTCAAAAGGGTGAATGTCTCAGCCTACGCCAAGGGACATCCTGGCTCCAGAGTCAGTCCACCCACCTGCCTCTAAAGACGGGAACGACGTAGCCGATGATCTGATTCTCTTTGTCCACGGCCAGGTACGTGGGCTTGGCTCTCTTGACAATGGGGCTCGATCTGCTCTCCTCCTCAACCCCAGAGTACCCAGAGGCCCTCAGTCTGCGACGATGGAAACAGGAGTTAGCACTGTTCCACTCTAAAGCGGCGCCCCCTAGGGGATGTGCTGAGAACTGGGTATGTCTCACAGCCACGCAAAGAGGTAAGTAATAAAGTTCCCATAAATGTGCTTTCTGTCAGTTCAATGCATAAACAATACACACCCATCAGCCAATAAGTAAGTGAGGAGGAAATGAGAGTTAAATCTGGATGGGAATGAGTCACATCGTAGCATTGATTCATGTGTTACCTCAACACGGGATTTTCATCTGGCCACTGTAAAGCAAGACTGACCAGAGGAGCCCTGTGGGACAGTGATATGCGGATCGGCTCTGACGCCATCTGAATCATATATGCGCAAATTATCCACCCACCACCCACACAAACGCATTATTTTCTCTGATTAAAAGACCAGCACCCAATCACACATTACCAGTATTTCTTACTGGGATATATGTAAGAATGATGATAAGGTGACATATTACACTGAACTTATTACACTGGTATTAAATAAATAAACATTTATTTAAAGTAAAAAGTTATTTTTTGGAAAAATAAAAATGGCCACAGGTATTTCCACAACAGCCTGAATACAGACTGACATCTTTAATCCCTTTGATATTCTGAACTTCATGATCACAGTTTAAAAGCTGACGATAATGAAGTTTGGCTGCTGCCCCAAACAAACAGGTAATTAAACAAAACACACTCAGCAGTCCAAACAAAAGCTGGCATACTCCTTTATCACTTCAAAACAAAATTCTGCATGTTACTGCAAATTAACACTACTAACACTAACACTATATGACACACCCTGCACTTGATTTGTCATTGTTAACTATTTCATTTAATCATTCCCACACATAACTTTTTTTTTCTTGTTATTTTTAATTCTCATTTCATTTTCACCTGGATCTTTTTTGTCTTTTAACACAAATGGACCCCACAATGAGAGCCTGCTAATTTGTACCTGTTGGAAAATGAAGCTTAAAATATGTTCACATTTTAGAGAATGTAATTAATATTTCTCTCAATTATGATATATACCACCCACCCGCCACCCATCCACTATTAATGAGAATGTTAATTTTTACGACTCAGCCCGCCCAATCTGCAGATTAACCGTGGTTCCCGCGGATATAACCTAGGCCCGGGCATCACTGCTGAGGGGGAAGGAGAGGACAATGTGTCTCTCTGCCGGACACAAGGGGGCACATATTTATGAGCAATAGGACAGCATTACTCTGGGAATTCAAGTCAGCTTGGTAAAGGCGACAGAGGGGGAGGTTCTATACATCAGAGGGGGAGGTTCTATACAGAGGGGGAGGTTCTATACATCAGAAGGGGAGGTTCTATACAGAGGGGGAGGTTCTATACATCATTCATGCCACACTTCCAGAACTCTCTGCCTCAGGCACAGGCTAGGCTGATGAAATCTCTGCACAGAAACACACCGGATGCCTGGTATTGCCCAGCAAGCAGGTGGCGCCGTTAAGGGGCAGGATTAATGGCCAAAATTCAGACTCGGCTCAAATTCTCATTCTTTCCCCGTTACCATTTTGCCAATTTAGATAGAATAGTACACCAAGTAACCAAGCTGTGTAAACTTATATTCTGGGGATGAAACAGCTGCTGCCCCCTGCAGGGATCACGAGACACTACAGGATCTGTCAGACAATGAGCACAGAACAATGAGCGAGCGAGACGGGCTCGTCAGTGAACTTTCGTTTTACTGCTTTTAGAATAACCACAACATGGCCTTGCGCTCCTTCGTAGAAGCCGACAATCATAAAAACTGCTGCGTGCCTCCAAAGATAGCAGCCAACATGTTCTAATGCCCTTTCAGGGAACACCCCCCTGCACGCTAGAGTCAGCTGGACACCACAAAGGAATTATGGTAATTATCTGCTGGTCAGTCAGAGAGAATGATGTCATGGACTGAGCAAATTCCTTAGCGTGCTGCTGTACTTGCCATTTTTATCTACTATGCTTGTCCATTAATGTGTCAGTGGATGTTCTGACCACCCACACTCTCTGTCCTTCTTCCCACATGGCCCCGGGTGGGCATCATCTGAGCTGGAGTCCTGGTTCAGTCCCATGGAGGGGTGACACTGCCAATGGGACTAACTGTGTCATCCTGGGTACAGCCTTCAGTGCCACCTTACACAGGCCAGCCTGGAGAACAGACTTATTGACAGACTTTGTCTTGATGCTTAATCACACCTTACACCTGGCCTTTAGCAGGCAAGTCCACCCTTTTCTGTTCTCAGTAATGTTAGTCTGCCCGGGGGAGCCAGTTGACCTTGGACCCCCAGAGGTTTTTTTTCTCCCTACCCGGAGTATTTGGTTCCTCTCCTCCATTGTCATCTGGCTCTCTTTCTTTCATTCCTCTGTCTTTCCTTTCCCCTGTTTTTTGTATTGTCCTCTCTTAATAACGTTGTAATGGACCACAGTACACCCATGTAAAGCACCTTGATGTGAAAGGGGCTGTATAAAAATAAACTGAAATCTGGCGGACCGGTGACCAACATTAACCGGCATGGTCCGAGCCCAGTTCTGCTGAACCCAGGCCCAGTTCTGCTTGCGGGGTCATGCTGCAATATTCTCCCCCATCAATCAGCCTGTTAGCAGCCGCTAAAGCGAGCCAGCTTACTGGAGCGAAGACCAGCTGTCCCCTGACATCACTGCAGTCTCCCACCAGCTGTAAAACAAAAGCCTTGACACCTGGGCTAGGGGGGTGGGGGGGGGGGGGCTCTTCAGATAGACTGAGCTTCTGTCCTTGTACCAGGAATCCATCCGAGGATCAACAATGGCATTGATTCAGGACCTAATCCACCAAACAATGAAATTAAATCCTGGAGGGGAATATACATGAATTTCCCTCTGGGATCAGTTCAGATATACTTTACTAGTTTATTCTGCGAAAGGTCAAACCAATATATTTTATACTAACGCAAACCCAATCAGACGACTCAATAATGCCATCCTACAAAAAGAAAGTTGTCTCTCAAAAATAAAATATATCTATTAAAATTCATTACATAATGTGAATGACTGACAGCACAATGTGTCTACACATAAGACACAATGTAATTAAAACTATTCTATCAAATAGTTATTTTAATAGTTTATCAGTTCCTTACATGTTGAAGTCTATTTGTGACCTTGTTGGTTCTGAGCTACCGTTTTGCTCTTCTGGAAACCATAAAGGTGAGGCAACACTACTGGCTGGATCACCAGGATGCCAATAGCCTTGATCGGACTGGATTTAGAGGTTTATTCCATGATAAACACCAACCATGTACCAGAGCGGAGACACAAACAGCTATCCTACCCTGAGACACCCTCTGATCCTCTCTGCTGGCGTGGCCAAAGCCTGAAAAGGGTTGACACATTCCTCTCTCAAGACAAAAACATTCAAGGAATCACCATAAAGCCAAGGGAATGAAGTCAAAGTAACTTCCGCTTCACAGCGGCAACTGATCGCTGCTGGTGGTGTGACCTGAACTGCTGATCTTTGGTAGCGCTGTGTCACCCGAAGCTGCTGAAGTCACAAATTCTCACCTGGCTTTTCAAACATGACCTTTACAGAGGTCACTGTGCTCACACAACGATTACAAAACAGGCATGTTTGTTTGTTCACTCAGTTCAGGCCAAAACCAAACTGCTTTTCTTATATTTTCAATGAATATCTCGATTAACACATTACTGAACAATTCAGTCATGAAAAATAAGTCAAACTTAAAAATCTATGCCATTCCTAGGCAGAAGAGAGGTTGATTACTACTATACAACAGTGTCAGGTTCAGGAAGCTATGAAAATCATTCAAACTGGCCATCAAAACATCTTAGTACCAGCAGCTGTTTCATGCACTATCACAAAACCATCAGAAGATCATCGGATCCTCAAACAAACCAATCTCAGTGGGATTTGACATTTTCTGAAATTCATCTGTCGTCTCTCTGGGTACAGTTGCAGTGCAGGTACGAAATATCTTGCCCTAACACAACCATATAACTCAACTCAAAAGTATGTCAAAGCCAGTGCTTGAAGTGGGGGAAAAGGGTGCAGGTACTCCCCTTGTTATACAGTACTGGGTGCCGGTACTGCCAAACATTATTCAGTATCAGGTGCGATTACTCTCCTTGTTGTTCAGTACCAGGCGCTGGTACTGCCATTGTTATTCAGCACCAGCAGATATTGAGAGATGCTGGTACTCTGAAGAGAAAAACAAAGAGGTGCTGTACTGCGAGTACCAGTACAGTGAGTACCAGTACAGTGAGTACCAGTACAGTGAGTACCAGCCGACTTCAAGCACTGCCTACAGAAGGGTTCCTTGATTCTGGTCCTGGAGTGACAGTTTACAAATTCCCCTGCTCAGTCACACCTATTGAACCTGGTATTTAGCAGATTAAGGTGTCTGTTGAGCGGGGAAATCTGCAAACGGTGTTGGATTCTGGACCTCCAGGACCAGAACTGGGGAACTCTGGCCTACCGCCTTGTGAAATCAGGCTCGTGCAGGTTGGGGGACCTAGACCTGAGGTAACCTCCTGACACAAACAGTACAAAGACAGTTTAATCTGTAAGCATGCATTTATAAAGGAGGCCTTAAATACCTATTCCAAATCCTCAGAAATTCTTTTGACCATTATGCATGATTATAAGTGTGCACAAATATGAGAGATTATTTAAGAATTACCGAGGCTTGAAGCCCATGTTAAATGTTCTAATTAGAGCAAAAAGGTCATATTTTCTGAATGAATAGCAACTTTTGAGAGTTTAGTGGTGTAAGTCAAGTAGGGAAGAAGAAGGAGCTCATGTCAAGGATTGAGTGGGAGGTTTGGAGAGATCCAGGTGGTTAGTTGAGAGAAGGAGGGCTTGCTAGAATGGAAGAGGGTGCTCAGTCAGGCTCATCCTGCGCCTGTTTCTCAGGTAAGTACGGGACGGGTAAAAAAAACGCAGCGGCACGGTGCAGCACCGTAAGTACTCAGCCCCCTTACCCTCTGCTGCTGATGCTGCTTGCGCTACTCTGCGCCGCGTAACTGCTGGACTGGCGGTACTGGCTAACCGCGGACTGCAGCTCCTTGCTGCGGTAAGCGCGGTCATAGTGGCGGTGATGTTTCTGGTAGAAAGGCAGGGATCCCGACATCCTGCGCCGTCCCGAGTCTCCGGCAACCCTGTGCGTTTCCATTCAGCATCCATTAACGTCTCCGTTAATGATCACGGCTTCCGAAATGCGCTTCATCGGTTCTTGTTAATGATTTAGTGGTGGTAAAGCTAATTGTTTCGGTTCCTTTCGGCAATAAATACACGTTCACACCCATTGCAATGACAATGCGCGGAACAAAGTGTTGCACGTATTTGTCAGTGTGACCTTTTAAAAACTTAAAACAAAAAACTATTTTTACTTCAACCCCCAAGTGATGCAGTACATGGATGGCGGGCTAGAGTAATTGGACAGGTTAAGTTATTAGTTAGAAATGTCATTAGCATTAATTATAAAGTACTGTACAGCAATTTATAAAACATGAAATTAAGTAATAAAAATAAACATCGTTTTCATTGACACATTGAGTAAAAATGTAATCAAAGTAAATTACAATCAGAAATGGTTTTTTTATTATACGACCCAGCTGTGCACACACGTAAATTGATGAGTACTGTATGCAGCAATTAAGAAGTTATGTAGGCCTAATTAATGAGAGTGCAGCAGCGATGCGCTTACAATCATACGCCTGGTTTGCGACGATGGCTTATCTGCTATCATTAAACTCGATAGCAAAACGTTTTAAGAAGTTTTACTTGCCTGTGACAACGTGTTCCCCGTGGGCAGAAAGATGTCAGAGAGAAGATCGACTCCAAACGCTGGAAAGCGGGCGGTGAGAGCCTGCCAAATCGGCGGACGGGGATGCCGACCGCGAAACAAAAATAATGCTGGCTCTCGGCGGAATGTGGATGCCACCTTCCCGACCTTTTATGGCCACGGAGGCCGTTAAATATAGCTGGGCGGGCGGCCTGGGGCACGATGATCACGGCGCCGCGGGGCGTCCGCTGCCGGTGAGTTAAAGCGCACCGCGGGATTTTAATGCTTTTTTTTTTGGAGGGGGGGCATAACCCGGAGAGATGCAATAGATTTTTAATATTTCCTTTAACCCGTGTAAGAATGTAAGTGATTGCACGCCCGGGTGAGAGGCTGACATTCAATACGGAATACTATGCACAGTAACTTGAGCCGAGCGTTAGTGCCCCCCCCCAACATACTCACCTGTCCCACGTACACATAGGACCATATGACGGGAAACAACACTTATCATGGCACAGTGATATAATGTAGTTTCGGTTACATAACACGTGCGTCTTATAGTTGCACGATATAAATATCCATATATTTTATGCAACAGCCCGCTCGTCTGATTCAAGGGGCGGACTCTGAAATCTCATTCCTCAGAACACAGAGCAGATATTGTCAGAAATAGTTTAAAAATATAACTGGCATACAATCCCTACCCATGCAGGACATGCCTATGCAGGACATCACATGTGTGGACACATAATTAGTGACATCCAGGATGGGCAGTGGTGGCTTAATGGTTAGGGAAGTGCACTTGTAAGTGAAAGATTGCAGGTTTGAATCCCCGACCAGCAAGGCCACCCCCAAGCACTGCTCCCTGGGTGCTGAATTAGCTGCCTGCTATGTCACATATGGGTTAAATGCAGAAGACACATTTTGTCGTGGTGTGCTGTGGTGTGTCAACAATGACAACTAATCTCTAAATTCTAATTGAGGGTGATATTGCCAGCACATGTGAAGCCATGGAGACCAGCTAACGACAGTCCTTACTGTTAGCGGCCCTCTCACCTGACTTCAGCTGTGCCGCCTGCTATGTTTAGCCGCGCGACAGAGCACTGTCCCTCTGCGCGTGGCCTTGCTGCCCCGTGACGCAGGAAGCCGCGCCCCAAGTCTGTGTGATGGAAACTATTGCGTGTTTTTAGCTGGTGTGCGATAGGCCGCTACCACAGAATAACCTAACTAACCTAACCTAATCTTAGCCTACCTGCGATAGCGTAACCTAGCTATGATAACATAACCTGGCCAACCTAGTTACGATATCATATACACAGGTGTGAAAATGAAGGAATTGTGTTTAAATTTTGTTGATATTAGACTAAACACTAAAATAATGGTCATAAATTTGACCATGTTGGGGGGGGGTGCATTGGAGGGCCCCATGGACTTTTTTGCCAAGGGCCCCCAGTCTCCGTAGAATTGCAAATCTATCCATCCATCCATGTTCCAATTACTTATCCAGTATGGGGTCATAGAGAGCTGTTATTTACGTGAATGTGGCTGTAATA